ATCAATAATAACACCCCTATGCTAATTAACAGACTGAGAGAACATCCATCACATAAAGAGACACTCTCACATTTACACATCTATAGGTGCACTCAGAAAGTTTACTGTAAAAGTTTTACACGTTATCTTGGTTACACCCCAATTATTGGACACTTTTGCGTGTTAAATGAATCATGGATGACTGACTGCAAATAGTGCATTTCTACAATGGCACCTCTATGTTGACCAGTGCAACACATAATTAAGAGTACCATTAGAAACACAAGCCTATTTGACAACAACAACAACATTGCAAATTAAGATATATGGAGTCAATCTGGAGGGTTATTGAAGCAAGTATATGGCTGACTTCCATGTTTTTCTTAAGAACCATTTCCTTCTTGACGGAATAAGCTTCAATGGTTCAACAAACAACTGCTGTGCCTGACAGACCTCTCAATGGTTCCAACAATAACTGCTATGAATCAATAACCTCCCCACCCACATATTTTCAACTGTGAAGGTTTGTCTTCAACCACAGTTTCCCCCGAGTTAGTTTTGAGTCGGTCACGCTGATTGTTGCTAATGTGACAACAAATGTGATGCCAATGAAATGAAGTTTCCCTTTCATCTTAACCTACTGGAAAACTAGGAATATAATAATGCCTGGAAGATATGTTATGCTAATGGCTCAGAAGGAGCATTATGCAGTACCGATGCAGTATGACCAAATAATACAGATGTTGGAAGCACTTTGGCAAAGAGCAGATGCAGAACTTGTTTTGGGGTATGTGGATGCAAATAAGAAAGCTACAGAAATAGCATGATAAAACCTACAAGAAATAGCTGCAAATAAGGAACAAATAAAAATAAAAAAAGCTTTATTTAGCTATTTAAAGTTATACAATATAGTATAACTAAATAATATGGCGTTCCACTACTAGCAAAAGGTACAAATGGCCTTCATTAGATCAGTTCACTCAGTGATAATGGTGTGAGTCATTAGAGACCCAGAAAAAAACAAGATGTGCATACAAGTTGTCTATTATTGTGGTCTGAGTCCTTGGAAAAACGAACTCAACGCCCTTCTCTGAAGCGCATTATAAGCGAGAAGACAAGATAGAGGTCAAGATAGAGGTAAATTTAAGGCCTGTTATTTTAACTGGTGGTGGTGCTATAGAGTTGGTCCTTAGGACTCCAAAATTGGTACAATTACTATTCATTACCATCACTACAAGTGTGCCAAATTTCATCATTTTCGTATGTTCCGTTGATAAGGCTGCCATTGACTCCCATTCGGGAAAAATAATAATAAGAAAACTAACAGATACAATAGGGGCTATCCTCTTCGGGCTTGGCCCCTAATATTACACATGATGATATGACACTAAAATAATGCAATAAATCCTTTTCTTTGGGGTTTTATAATGTACATAACTGATAAGAGAAAACTAACGAAGAAACATAGTTATTTCAATTAAACATCAATGGCGAGGTGTCACACCAGTGGCGTAGCCACGAGGGCCTCATTTACATTTTTGATTGCATTATTATTTCTGATTGCTTAAAAAAAAGTTTTTTTTTTTAAACTTTAGGAGGCAAAATATGTTTTGATTATGTGAATTACACTGCGCAAACCAAAGTAATACTACCCACCGGATGAAGAAGGGTTGTCTCTCAGTCTCCACAGTACATAAAATATTCCTTTTATTTTATTTTATTTTTCGTGTTCGCATTTATGAGGAAAAAACAATGTTACGGACGTGAGCGCTCTGAAAGCGGCACTAAAATATGCTTTAAAACTTTCACAGAGACATCAAACAGAAAGCACAAAACCTTTCTTTAACCTGAATTTCGTTTTGTATTAATTGTATCTTAATTTTAATCAATGTTTCATCAACCAATTGCCTGGATTTAATAAATAAGAAGTAAATATAGCAGACGATATAGAGATAATCACGAAACAGGGGCGTCGGCGCGTGAACTGGAGCTCGTCTCATAAATGAACCGAAACTCAGTGTATAAGGTAGCCTACTTGCCTCACAGACATGTCTACTTTTAAACAGAGCAATTCAAAAACGAAAGAAAACAGACTACAGACTGCTCTCTGCTTATGTAATCCTTATGAAATGTGCATTTCTCTCTGGCGCGTTCACTACTGAAGATCGCGAGTCAGCATCGTCAACTTCATCTTAGCCGACACTGACAAAGAAAACACTTGTTTATTAATAAACAATTAAAATATCTCCTTGCTATATTTTACATATTCAGAATCATTACTTTTGCCACTTCTTTGTGACAGCTATTAGGTGCTTTATTGGCAGCGCCACCCTTACATGTTACATGAGTGGCCACCGCATCACCGCACCCACCAGAATAGGCCTGTATATAAAAAATTCTGGCTATATATATATATATATATATATATATGTTGCCCCCTGAATTAAAGACGGGACCCCCCAAAAATAAAATTCTGGCTATGCCCCTGTGTCACACAGACAATTCTGGGAATGTCAATGTATTGTTTCCTGCTATTGAACTTTTTTTTTAAAAGAGGAAGATCCACATGGCTAAAAAAACAAAGGATGAAGGTATGGAGCACTAATTATTGCAATCATGACGTAAATGTATATTATTAAACCCCAACCTTTGTAGAGAGGAAGTGATGCGGTACCCCGTTATACCATCATATTATCAGACGGTAATACTTTTAAAAACCAATCAAAAGTTGGCTGACACATATAACTGAATATGCATGTTTTTTGTGACCTTATAAAATTAAGAACAATTTGTAATTTTTTGGGCCAGATAGTACAGGGAAAGCAGTCATCAAGTGTGCACCACACATGGGAAATGTGCCTCATGATGTTAGTTAAAGGGATAGTAATACCGTAACTAATACAGTTAGCAGCAGCCATATCACCCTGTAGCCCAAGACTGGTAGCCCACTGAAGCTAAGCAGGGTTGAGGCTGGTTAGTACCTGGATGGGAGACCTCCTGAGAAAACCAGGTTGCTGCTGGAAGAGGTGTTAGTGAGGTCAGCAGGGGGCGCTCACCCTGTGGTCTGTGTGGGTCCTAACACCCCAGTATAGTGACGGGGACACTATACTGTCAAAGTGCACCGTCCTTCGATGAGACGTAAAACCGAGGTCCTGACTCTCTGTGGTCATTAAAAATCCCATGGCACTTCTCGTAAAGAGTAGGGGTGTAACCCCGGTGTCCTGGCCACATTCCACCCATTGGCCCTTGCCAATCATGGCCTCCTAATAATCCCCATCCACTGAATTGGCTCTATCACTCTCTCTCCTCTTCAACTATAGCTGGTGTGTGGTGAGCGCACTGGCGCCGTTGTTCTGTGGCTGCCGTCGCATCATCCAAGTGGATGCTGCACACTGGTGCTGGTTGAGGAGAGACCCCCTGATATGATTGTAAAGCGCTTTGGGTGTACAGTAGTACATATGAAAGCACTATATAAATGCCTCATTCATTCAATACTAATACCGTAGTTTGGTGCCGTAATTGTTACTTTAAACTGTAAAACATTGAAATAATAAAAAATGAGAAATTGTATCCAAACCTTTCACGAGTACTGTAATATACTATGGTAAATTACCATATATAAAAATAATTTACTTATATCATAGACTATATATAGCCTATACTATAGCATATATATATATATATATAACATATAGGCCTAATATATAATATATATAACAAATATCGCAATCAATCATTTCTACATGTTTATCGGTCATCATAGTACTCGTTTGTGAAACTGGTCTCATTTGGCGAGTAAAAACTAAATTCCGTAAAAAGCTATGAAAGTCAGAAGCGAAAATGCGGTGACCAACTAGAAGCAAAGAACGATGCCATCGTACGCGAGGATTCCCTCGGCCATATACTGGAAGAGGTGACGTCATGGCGCAGAGGTGGGGAATCCCCCTGGAGACAGCGCGTGAGAAAAGGATATAGCCTTCCAACCAGTGCAACTGATAGAAAGAAGAAACACTAAAGCATTAAAGCTGACAGAACCGGATAAAAAGCTGATTCTATTTGGCCTAATCCACTGACTGCAACGAGAAATTAAATCGAGAGACGTTTTCTAGGCTAGGCTACTCTATCAATAATAATAACAACAATACGTTTTATTTATAATTTGTTTATATATGTATTGTGTTTAACCTTGTCTCTTTTATTTTCGCTTGCGTTTAATATGAATCTTAATTTACGTCACCCTATTTATTCAGAAATTTAAGTAGGCCTACTGATGATACTACAAATGAGGACAATCATGCCAGTAAAGCATTGATTCTGGCTAGTAAGGCCTATTTATTTTACACTTGTCCCTTTCTCACTTTATTTCCTCGTCCAATGTAATTTCAGCATTGTCTATTTGGTCCTATAAGTAGACTACACTTTAGCACTATTGTAAATGCTGAGATGCACACAAATAAGGCTTTACTGGCTGACTGAGAAGAAGAGATCAAGACGAGTGGGTGGGCTTCACTGACAACATGGCATCTATAAACGTGCCATGCCATAAGCAAGAATCTGCATTTATGAGGAAACGAAGATATAGCTACAGCAAAACAGGTGGGGGAAAAATCAGGTTACAAAACAAAAGAAAAACTTTGTTTCTTTAAACTCTTTGTTTTGGTTATGGACTTGGCAACATACTAAGACGTGTTTGTGAAACTATGTTCTCCAAGTAGACTAACTACTACTACTGCCTTGTCAGGTCACAGTAACATTCTTCTAGCTTCATGTAACGGCTCAAGTGAAACAATGTGTTCATTATTTCCGTCACTAGCGCATATCCCGTTCTCAGAATCTAGCGGTTTAGATTGTGATCGATACACCAGCACAGCCTGAGCTAAAGATGCACTGCAGAACACAATCTGACACAGAAACTGAAGAACACATCTTCACAGAGAAACATGAAGAACACATCTTCACAGAGAAACATCCACAGAATTGCGTCAAAACGCGTTACTTCACTGCCTTAAAAAGCAACTTACCCCTCTATGTGTCGCTCAAGGTTTCTGAGAAAATGTCCCCCGCTGAAATAAGCGTAGTCAACACGTTACTGACTTTAATAACTACCGTTTAAGAGATCATACGCCGTTTTAAAAATATATTTTCAACTTTCCCGTCACTAAACACGAAAGCTAAAGTGGACTATGCGAAAACGGGCTACACATTTCCAGTTTCTCTTTGATTGACAGGTCTTTGACGCTGTCGTGAACGAGATCAGAATTCTGTCCAATCCCTGAACTCGAATGACGCAAAGAGGCGGGTCATAGAGGCTGCGCGCTCGAGAGCGCCTGAGTTTATTGCCCTGGCTGAACAGGCTCTTCCGACAGCTCTGTCCTCCCTCGTGACGCGCCGCTGTGAAGCACCGCACGGCGGGGGGAGAGAGCGCTGCTAGAACAGCGCGCCTGGAAGTCATCTGAATTACTGGCAGTGCCTGCGTCATCTCAACTTTAATTCAGTGAATGTGAAAAGTGGAGCCTACTGTCGTGACGTCTGCCCTAATCAACCCCCCCCCCCCTTTTTTTTTAATAACAAAGTGTATGTTTAAATGTGAGCACAAATCACAGAGCGAAACTATATCAATATTAGGCCTGCCTCAAAGCGCATTTTATTTATCTTACAGAAAAGAATAATTAGCCTATACCCTAGATATTTAGAACGTTAAGATTGGCAAATATATAAAAGGTGTTTATTTCAGAAACAATATGGCTTAGCAAACAAATTTCAATAAAAGCTCTTGACTGGACTATTTGTAAATAGCCCTAAAACCCTGAAAAATATTAGCTTTTTATAGCTTCGGAATTTCTAATGGGGTTTTAGATTAGCAATTCTTTTATTTATGTATGAATGTGTATGTTTTTTTTTTTAAATTCTATAAAATAATTTTTGTTTGTTTGTTTATTTTGTTTGTTTTTTATTTTATTTTTAATTTAAAGTTTTTTAAAAGTTTTTTTTTGTGTGTGCAAAATTCATGTTTCAGGTGTGACTGTTTGTAATTTATATTGTAATGTAGAACAAACAATAGTCTCTATAAGTAATGTTAACCACAGTCATTTCTTACTCAGAAATCACAAACTATTTTAGAAACCCCTTTGAAATTCCCTAAGGAAACCCACAGTGAATTAACTTTCTGGGTAAACCATGGACATCTGGATTGAGCAACTCTGCTATTTATTTCAAATTCAGGTTGATTTGAACAGTTGTGGTTGATTTAAAATAAACTTTGGATGGTCCATTGTGCTTATACCATTATTGGATATGCATTGTTTCATTAAATAGGCCCTTAGTATATTTCCTTATTGGAGTATAGAAGCTGGGTGTTACCAGGTCATAGGACATCCGGACATGGGCTTCCATGGAAACTTCAGAGGATGTTTTCTACAGTCCAGTAGTTCCGGTCCAAGTCCAATAGGCTCTAGTTTTTTTCCCCTTCACATCTGGTCTCTCAGTTCTGTCTCAAACAGAAACTGATGCTGACAAAAAAACATTCATATGTGATGCTGTGTCAAGATAGGATTCTGGAAATTACACATCACGTGCATGCATTAATACTGAAATAAAGGTCTCATGATGTCCACATGCTTTTACTTTATTAGTGTCTGTTTATTCTCACATTAAAATATCACTTGGGTTAAGAATATAAGAATATATATACGGCGAATGATGTGGAAAATTTCATTCGGTCACTAAATAATGACAGAATTTTTATTTTTGGATGAACTATTCCTTTAACAAAATACAAGGACTGCACTTTTGGACAGATCTGTTAGCCTGTAAAGATCTAAAGAGGCTCAAGTCGAGTCCTGCTTCAAACAGGCCGGCTGCTCAGTGAATATAGCACTTCCTCAAGTTTTATTTTAGAAAATGCAAAGTCCTTTTTTGTTATGTTATATTATGTTAACCTTTGCAGACGATGACAAAGATGATGGAAGAGGAATAAAGAACAAGGAAATAATTAACATGCTATCATGCAATCAATGTCATTTCTCGCTATAGTCAGCACTGATGTCTTCTGCATGTCACATTGGCGCATTTCTGCACTTCTATCCGAACAACTGATAACATGCAAAAATTGGCCATTTTCTGATTATGCATATTTTATACATAATGATATATGTAGTAGGCTATGTGCATTAGAGACATTTATTGGTCTCAAATATGAAAATAGGCCAGAATGCAAACTCACATAAGCAGAATGAGTATTCAGAAAAAAATATGAATGATGTAATTTTGCATTTAGCTCTATGCATGTTTGACTTCAGTTAATATGTTAAAGTGAACTCATTCGGAAAGTCACACATGTGATTAATAACCAAAATGCGCTTCCAACATATAGAATAATTTGATTTATTCATACAAGAGAAAAAAAAAACCCTGCACACAATCCACCCTGTCACTACAAGCCTCACCTATAGTATATTTTTGTCTCCAGGTTTGTCCTGGTAGGAAGTTCACATGCAGCTTATAAAGAGAAAGTCCAGATAAACATCAGCTCAGGTTCTTGTTTGTTCTTCATGCTGCTCTCTGCAAACACACAACCATCTGTTCCCCTGAGACTCTGATGGAAAACACAGATGCGCAGTGGTGTATGTATCAGGCTATATACAGGCTATATGACTGTGTGGTGCAGTGACCAATCCATGCATATCATACATCATTGATACTGCATACTTTTTTGTTGCAATTTACAATATGATACAGTACATCTCCAAAACAGACTATTATCTGTTTCAGTGATTTCAGTGATATTTTATCTGATTCAGTGATGTATATATAGTGCTCAAAGTGGCCTTCATTTTGTTCTGCTGTCTTCTGCCTCCCTTTTGGAACAGCACTCTCCTTAATCAGATTCCTCTCATTGATTATTTAATGTATTCCCTCTACAACCAACATGACACCACCAAGGGCAGAGAAGAGACAGAGAGAACAGGAGGGGATAAGAGAGAGAAACGGAGACAAAAACAGGGCAGACACCAGCCTGTGTAGCAATATCTAAAAAAAAATCAGCCCATACAGTAATGCATTATGCAGTATCTCTGTCCAAACATGGCACCGAAAACAAGCTTTTACTTTTAGCGTATACATTTCATTAATAACAATGTATTTTGATGCTTTTAAAACCTTTGAGTTTAATTATGGATTAATTTATAAACTTATTTAATCTCTGGTCTGAATTATATTATATATATAAATTATATTATATTACATAACTGACCTCAAGAAACATCTAAAAAGCCATCTTTTTTGTTGTTTTGTGTTTTTTCTCCAAAGCCTTTAAAGACCCTTTTAAAGGGTCAAATCATATATATTTTTTTCTCTGCAGTTCAGTGTTACGGTTTTATTTATCCAACGAATGGTAGGAGAGAGACAGGTCTGTAATTCTCCACAAGTGATGTGTTTAATGCTGTTTTTTTTAAGCAGTGGAGTTACCCGAGCCTGCTTGAATGCTGCAGGGAATGGTTAAAATTGTTTGATGCTGACAATGATTAAAATTTGACTGCAGTGTGCAGCCGTATTCAGGCTGGATCATTGTCTGTTCATTTTACCATTTTAACGCTATAAAGCATACTGTATCGTATTTGCTATGCAAATTTCTAAGGCCTCTAATTTATCAGCATGATCAAAACGCAGGGGAAAAAAAAGCTGAGGAACCTGTTGTACACAATGTGCAACATGCCCTTTGTTGTATGATTGACAGTTTATACTTTTTAAGCAAGTAAAAGGCCTTTTAGTATAATTCTAAAACTTACCTCATTTTATTTTATTTTACAGAAAAGAATAATCATATAGACTAACAGAATAATGATATTTCGAATGTAATTTTTAAGAATGGCAAAATATAAAAGGCGTTTATTTTAGAGTTACATTTTGAATTGGCGTTAGAATGTTGGAGAAGTGCTGTAATCTGGCGACTGTCGGTGCAGTGTGAATTGGCCTTTAGTTTGGCTTTTGCTATGTCCCATAATTTCACATACATCTTTTTCTTTTTCAAAGCCCTAACACCGAATTTGAAAGAAATTTTTCTCATGACACTACAGATTACTTGCTGGTACAGCTTGATATTGGTGTGTGTGCACCAGCCTGTGTCTGTGTGGCGAGCAGGACGAGGCCGAGGGACGTGAGAGGACGGCGCGAGGCTGGTGGCATGAGTGATAATGAAATGACACCTGTGAGACGCACCGGCCTCGCATCTCTCACGTCCCTCGGCCTCGTCCTGTTTGCAACACTCTGCTTTACCACAAAGTACCTTTCATAGTCTTTGTTCACCATTATCTTCAATGCAGCTTTTCATACTCACCAGAGCAATAACACTGCAATGATGCAGTGTGCAGCTGTTGCTCTCTCTGATAACTGTAAATAGCTGGGTAGGGACATAATGAAAAAAAGAGAGTGAAAAGATGGACACTTTTATTTGTTTATTAAAAGCAACCTACACCCAATCCATTTATACAGCCCCAAATCTCACAAGGACAACAGTAGAGCCAATAAGTAGCTTCATTCAGACCATCACACCTTGAAAACTACTGCCCATATATGCAATGAACACTGCAATAGCTGTGTATTTTCATGGCATAAGACCATAAATAGCATGATACAAAATGCGAGCTTTCAGTGTATTGTTTGTAAAAATTGGACTATTTATGCGATAATGTGGGTTGATTATCTGACATGAGGGCACTTAAAGTACAATGAAAGATCAGTTACTGATCTGAATATTCAAATATTGAATAGAAATATGATATATTTCAATTTACTTCAGTGATCTGAATTACATAGTTACTTGAATAGATCATATCAGTTTACTTTTTTTTTTCCAGTAACCCATATCAATAACCTTTTCCATAGAGTAAGCCCCGGTTTACCTAATACTGTATTTGTGTGTACCTTTATATGAAAGACAAAAAAACAAATCTTGCTTTAAGCATGATAAAGGTTATATGTACAAACAAGGTAAACAGTCAAATTATTTCACCTCAGAATAAATAAAACTCAATTCTCAAAAGCAAACTTTTCAGAGACTGAAATTCTGCTTAATTTTACAGGTTTCTTAGAGCTAGATCAAAGATCAAATTATGCCATCTCAAGATGTCAAATGCAGCAACTGCAAGTCTTTTACATCAAGTCTGAATTAGAGAGTGAAGCATTTAAAACATTTGCCCCCGGTTTCACAGACCAGGCATAAGCTAGTCCCAGACTAAAATGCATGTTTGAGCTGATTTGCACTGACAGATCTCAAAATAGTCAGTGCCATTGTTTTGCCTCAAGATGCACACCAGTAATGTTTTTTCTAAGGTAAGTTTATAAAAGCTACTTAAAAGGCCTAATCTTGGCTTAATCTAAGCCCTGTCTGTGAAACCAGGCCTTGGAGTTTGGATCACATTAACGTCAGTGGCCAGACCACAAAACAACTGACCATAGTTCTTAATCTAAGAGATAAATCAAATCCCCAGTTTCAAAAGACAAAAAGTTAGTCGTCAGTTTATATTTGCAGTACTTTCTTTCCTTTTTTTTTTTTTTTACATATGATTAGACTTCTTATAATATCTTATAATTCATTTTCCCTCAAAACAATATTTCCATCTGACAACAGCTTTCTAGCACCTCAAAGTTTTCACTTCCAATTGCTTCCAACAGTTCATTCACGGCATTAAAGCACAAAGCCCAGATATTCAACAAGACGCATAGGGCCTGCTAATAATTTATACTGTTGAAATCAGCAGCCGTCACATCACATGATAAAGAACACAGGGTGTTCATTAAATATAGGCACTTCAATATAAACATAATAAGTTAATAACATCTAAATGCCATGAGAGTGTTTATGAAAATATTCTTCCGGAGCACAAACCTCCTTTCATCCACCTTTTCAGAAAATACTATAACATTCAATTGTTTTGAAGATTTTAAATGTACATTACAGTCAGTCTTAGTGATCAAATTAAAAATTATGTTAACTTTTTTTTTAGTATTATACATTTTTCCACACAATAAAAAGTGATCATTTGTCAATTTGAAAAACTGACAATTAATGAAAACAAAATAGTACTAATAAAAAAATAAGCAACCTTTGGGTTGATGAGATACCAAGAAATAAAGCAAACCAAATGTTCAGCAAAAGGTTGAGGCGACTCCACATTCATTTGCTCTTTAATCCTCCATCAAGCACATCTCAGTCCCCTACATCCCATCATCCTTATTTATCTCCAGACCTCAAACTCTTTTTTTCCCCCGTGTTGAGCTTTTTCCAGGGCTTAACATACTGGACTTACTGGCCGGCCTTCTCCCTTGGCCTCACCGTCTCCTGGAACACCAGCCGTGAGTGATCAGCTGCCTCTAGCAAGGCCTCCATTTCTGGGCTGTCAATATTGACCAGTTCACCTTCCTCCACCTTTGACACTAGGCCTCCTTCCTGCACCACAAGCTCCTCCTGGAGCTCCTCATCCTGCTCCACCTCCTCCTCCTCCTCCTCTTCCTCAGGCTCGGGTGTGGGTTCAGTCGCACCTCCACGGACCTTCTTGACGTGGAAGGTGAAGGGTGCCACACGGTAGGTGGTGGATTTGGAGCGGGCGTAGACAGTGTGGTCGGGTGTCAGTGTCTTCTTCATCTTCTCTCTGGAGCTACGGATCTTATTGCGGCGCTGGGTGTTAGGGGTCATCTTTGTTCCCAGCTTATCCATCTTCTTGCTCAGGCTCTTCTTGGTCTTCTCAAGGTTCTCTCGGGTTCTCAGACGCGTCTTCTCCAGGTTCTCTTTCGTTCTCTGTCGGGTTTTCTCCAGGTTCTCCTTGGTCTTCTGCCTTGTCTTCTCCATCTGCTCCTTGCTGAAGGCCTTCTTCAGCTCGTCCATCTTCTGGAGGCCGCTGCGCTTGATGCGGTCAGCACGAGATTCCTCAATGATCTCCTCAACCTCCACTTCCTCTTCGGAGCCGTGTTCTTCCTCGCCTCCTTCACTCAGCACCTGCTCTCCTTCCTCTTCTGCAGCCACTGGCTTCTTAGAGACTTTCACGGGTTTCACTTTGTCCTGAGAGAAGAGGTGAGAAAAGTTAAGGAATTCAGATTAGATTGGACGAGGCAAATCAGAATATTCTTGAACTTCTAGATCTGAACATAAGCAGTTGATATTAAAGTGGGCATGAAAAGCACCATTTTATATAAAGTGAATCACAGAGCTGTTCATTTTCACTTTCAGTATGACTAAAGGGTACTGAATATAAAAAGCTAGAATGTGCAAATATACATGTTTCATAGCAGGCTTTTTTCCTGTCCACAATGTTTAGGGGTTTTGCGACACTTTTTAACAATGGCAAAAAAATCTATTAAACTATGATATTACTGTTGTTTTTTTGTTAGACTGATTTCTTTACCGGTGTAGAATGTAGTCCTATATTACCTTATATGCATGTATTGACATGGGATTATATCCTCCTGAGACCCAGAAAAAAAAAGTTTTTTGAATTTAGTTTTTTTCCATGTCATCACACTGTTTAGAGCACAATAAACAAATGGTAAAAAAACATATATATGAAATAATATTTTATTCATACGTTATGCTATGTCCTCTGTAGTGGACGCCAGGACTAAGTTGTTTAAAAAATAAAATGACATGAAATTATATGTATAGGCAAAAACAATGGGATTTTTTTTTCAATCACCAATACATTTTGGGGTTTCAGGATTTTTTCAACCAAAATTTGTATAAAGATTATTCTCAACTATGTTATGAAAGAAATAATGGAATGAATTGATACACCATTTTACTTTTTGCAATATGTGGGTAAAATGGCCATAAGTTAATATTCCCATTCAATGCAATGTATCTATACACTGTATCTAATTGGCACATAAATGTGTTCTGGGAGCAACATTTAATGAAAGAATAAAGGGTAATAATTGGAGTAATAATTGGCAACATTTTAATAATAATATCTAACATTTCATAGGAATATTGATGTATAATTTATTTCCATATTCACTTGTTGTGTCTCCCAGAATGCCTGATAAACATGATTTTAGTCCTGATGTCCTCTACAGTGGACACGTTTGAAATCAATGCCCTGTTCTGTAACAGAAACTTTTTTTTTTTAAACCCCTTAACATTTTCCTGAGATGTTGTTTTATGAAATACTATTTGAAAAGTAGTCTAATTTATATTATAATTACACTATATTATCATATTTCCATAAGAATGCTACATTTGATCACTAAATTAATGTCAGACATTTTTAAAGACCAAGGAGAAGTTATTTTCATGGTGAAACCTCCAAACATTTGGTATCTCTGAAAAGTCCTGAATGTGCTCTTTACAGGACACCCAGGTTGTGTCATGTGACATGTATGATGTCAGAGAAATTCACTAAAATATAATGTCCACTACAGTGGACAAAAGTCTATTCTTGGGTCCCAGGAGGATATTATTTATTAAAACAATTTGAACCCAAATCAATATTTTAAGTCCATGTATCCGGCTGACTATACACAATCCCTATTCGGACTTAAATTTGAACACTGAATTTCTTGTGAGAAACTAATCATCAGCTTAATAATTGTATTTAAGGCTTCAACCAGTTGGACTTCATTCTTCTCAAGACTTATAATAGCTCAATATTGTCACCCCTAAGCCTGTTCTTAACATGTTCATGAGTCATTCACTCTTCATTTGTCTCATGCAGATAGACCAACATTTGGAATTCAGGACATGCTATGACTTGTCTAAGTGCTGGGACTGATAATCATCATGATTACATGGGCGAAGGAGCTTTGTAGTAAGATAATGAACTGATTTTTATGCAACAAGGATGAGATGTCGTCAATGAGATTCATTTGAACTGTGGGCCATTACTAAAATGATACTGAGCCTACAGACGACGAGTGCAGCACTCCCTCTATAGGGCACTGGAAATGCAGTGGTTTATGCATGTAAATTAAGAAATACATTTTAAAGCAAATGTGTTACAATGTTTGTTTTGGTTTCAATTTTGTTATGAGCCTATACATGTATATTTTTAACAATGTATACAATAATATACATAATGCATACATGGTTATATTATTTGAAACAAAACTATATATACATAATGCATACATATTATTTGAAACAAAACGAAACAAAACGTTTTAAAATTTTGTTTGAAATGAGAATATATACTGTATATATATATATATATATATATATATATAAATTTAGCTTGGTTGACTGCTGTCAATTGATAAAAAAAAGACTAATTAATCACACTTTTTTCTGTAACCCTTAAACGCATACCTCAGGCCTTTAGTGACCTGGGACGTCATGCACTATGCTCCTCCTCATTCATTTTTTAAAGTAAGACATCAACCTTCTTAGTATTCTTCAATCAATTCATTATAAACAATAACATGAAAAAAAGAATAACTTTTTTTGTAAAAATTTAACGACCTGAGGTGTTTATAGAATCCCAGAATCTTCCTACAACTGCTTGCAAATAAATAAATAAAAAACTCAATCAAGCACAAGCACAAGCACACACGCACGCACGCACACACACACACACACACACACTACATTTGAGTGAGACAACAAAACACATCTTAACCACAAACATCCTTAAATGGGGATGTCAGTGGATACTTGAACAGGTCAACAAAACAACAAAACTAAACATGAAGAAGCGAAAAGATATTTCAATAGCCTTGGGGCAAAAAAACAACAACATTCCACAACAAAGTTAACCGAATGTGTTCTACCATAAAAAGATGCTAAGCATATTGACACGGTCCCAACTCTCCATTCAGATTGTAAGTTGTCATATAACGTTATTAAAGCAAATGCTAATTGAAAGAATTTTTACATAATGGTAGTATCTAGAAGTAGGCTATAACACACCCTCTGGTGGTCTTAAAAATAATTGATGCTTTGTGTTTTGTTTAAGCCTAAACTAATATGGATCCAGGAGAGTTGCAAAAACAGGACTCTCTGGATCTCCTGACAATTTCCAAATAAATATTATACCTGAATCTGTTCGTTTTTCAACCTCTAGCCCTGTGCCAATGGAAGTCCTCATAAACGTGCATGTGTTTCCTTATTGTGAAGGCTGAAGATGTGTGTGCGCTTATTTTAGTCTGGCCTTTCTTCTTATTTTCATTGCATCAGCCTCATTCCCTGAACAGTGCTCATTCATACACTCATAGCTATTCCCTCCTGCATCCTAACAAGTAAATATACTGTGCACCCATATCCACTGACTGACTCACCCTGGCTACTCAGAGACAAGAGCTGGACGGAAGATCTGTAGATATTGTGCTATGTGTGAGAGAGCAGCCCGTTCTCATCCCAAGGCGTCATATACTGACGCTTTTGACATTTCGTCTACATCCAACACACATGGCACCCTTTAGCGTCAATATGAGACGCAGAGAGATATGATCCAGAAGGCGCCTCCTAGCGGTCTAACCCTGGCTAACCCCACCCCAGACCTAAACCTACCCATATCTATATCTGCGTCTCATATTGACGCTAAAGGGTGCCATGTGCGTTGGATGTATAGACGAAATGTCAAAATATGTCAAATATGACGCCCTAGGATGAGAATGCGAGAGAGACATAAGAGACACCTAATAAACATCCCCAAAAAATTGTCCTCATGTGAACCCCAGTTTTAGCCTGACTTCGTCATACTCATATTCTAGTCAGAACGTGAGTCTGATACTGCCCCATAGGGCTTTGATTATGAGGCGTGTCTTAACCGAACCAGGAAAAAAAAAAAACCTGCACTCAATTGGATAGACCTACAACCAATCAGAGCAACGCTGAGCTGTCAACAGAACTCAACAGCACGCATGCTGGAAGTAGTAGTAAAATAATGAGTGTTGCTTCTTTTACTTGGTCCTCCATGAGTGCGACCAAAGGAGAAACCACAACGACCACAGGGTTTTCATCGCGTCCCATCTTCTCTTAGCGACCACAGGAGCCAGCTGATAAATTAATCTTTTGCTGAATCCCGTAGGAAGGACGGCAAACGCATCTTTTTTCCGATCGACAAATGCCTTGATTGCAGTTCTCTGTTCGTCTTTTAAAATTAATGCGCTGTCGATTTCTTTTACAACAGACGTGATAGCGGAATCCATCTCAATTCTCCAGCTGCAGTCATCTCTGAGGGAAACCAGTTCAACGTTCAACCCAAGCGCTCTTTGATAACGTGATGATTACGTAACTGTAGATCATCTGTCCATCATCGTATAAAGCCCGCCCTGGTAATTTGATTGGCCCGACGATTTCTGAACCGATCATAATTACTCCTCAATGGATCGAGTCCAGACCGAACTTCCCGACCAAAAAAATTTTGTGGGCGGGGTTCAGGCTGGCATCCAGGCTACCCCAGTTCAGCACAAGCCAGAATGTAGAGGACCAGAGATGTTACACAAAGCTCAATCCAAACAGCCAAAGCCAACAGAGAGAACTCAGTGTCAACACACAGAGAACAAGTGAGAATATGGAAACACTGGGGAGGAAATCACATAACTGGAAAGCCTTTTTTCCCCATAACAATTTGCACGACCACATCAAATTCCAGTAACGTGCTGGTGATGGATGTATAGTCTGCATATCCACCGTATTAGAAAGGTCAAGATCCACCCGTAAACATGAAATTTAATTATAAAGTAAATTGTGTTGACTATTCTAAAAATCTGACAATTTTGCTTATTGTACACTTGCAATTAAAGTACTGGTAAAACACCTGAACCAGAATATATTTAAATAAAATGAATGTATATTATTAAAATTAAACAATTATCAAATCAGTATATTTTATACAGCAGTGATTATTTTCATAGCACCATGTTTTTAACAGCTAAATTCCATAAAACTGAGCTCGTATTAAACTGTGAATGTTAAAATAATTACAGTGCAGAAAAGAACTGCTGGCAGAGATTAATTGACACGTCATGACTTCTCTCATAAAACAAACTCCCAACAAAGTTCTCAACAAAAAGATTATTAACATTGATTATATGATGAACTGAGCCGTAAATTCAGGAAACCAAGGT